TTTGAAAATAATAATTTACAAAAAAAATTAAAACAAACATAACTAAATGAAGTGACCGTGCCATTAGAGCGAGTTGGCGATGACATAAGAGCATCTTCAATAGAGACGTGAATTGCACCCTTAAAAATATAGACACGTCAACCATATGAATAGCCCGTGAGGCTGATTTGGACTCATAGACTATGAAAATGATATTCCGTCTCCAATGGTTTGTTACTTTCTTCTGTTTATTGTCTTAACAACAAAATAATTTAATGAGAAAACTGTCAAGTATGCCCTCATAATATATCAAAAAAGTATTTGAGAACAGTCAATTCAGTCCTATAGCCGGTAGTTTACCGGTTTCCCGGTTGTTTACTTACGTGCTGCCATGTGAAACCCATTTAATAGTTTTGTTTTAAATTTCTTTTAAATTTTGTCCAACCCCATTCCCAGAATCCCATTTTCATCAACGTAGATCTTCTTCTTTTCTTATTTTTCTTTTTCTTTCTGAATTTCTTTCCACTTCTTTCTCAGATCTAGACATCTACTACGTAGCATTTGTTTTTCTCTTATTCTTCTTGTCTTCCTGTTCTTCTTTATTTTCCTTTGTGTCCATTATTTTCAATTTTAACCTATCGATCTATCTGTTTTCTTCTTCTCCCCAACTTCTTTCCTGTTCTAGAGAAGATGTTTAAAACTAACTGTTTAGGTTTGGTGAAAATCAGACTGCAAATCGAAGACGTTCTTCAATTACATATTTGCTAGCTTCAGATAAGTTTTTGAGATCCAACCTCTTAATTTTTTAGATTCAACCTCTTGCACTCATCCTTTGATTTGGATATTACTGGATGTAATTAAATAGGGATATTGAAAAGAAAATAAAAATAAAAATCAGGGAAGATAAACCAAGAGAGAAAATCGATGAAAGAGAGATCTCGTAAAATCCGAAAATATGGTGATGTATTGTGAGAGCCATGGATTCATTCTCAATTCTCAATTATACTTCATCTTTCGTCATGAATGTTGCTAAGATTTCCTGGCCTGGAGAGTGGAAACAGAACCAGGGATATAAATTTGATTTTTAAAGAATAATCTTACAACTATCATTTGGGTAAAGATTTTAATTTTGATATTTGAAAAACACGTCGTTTAGGTAGGGATTTTAATTCTATGATATTTGACAAAAATGGATGCATTCACAAAAGCATGGGAGCAAGGTGCAGTGGAAGTCGATTAAGAAGGTTGAAGAAGAAGGTCGAAGAAAAGGGTAGAAGGGGTGGTGAAAGAAAAAAGAAAAAAGTGAACTGAGGCTGACACATTAAACAACCGGGAAACCGGTAATTGACGGGATATAAAGCTTAATTGAGTGTTTTCTTATACTTCAAGGGTTTGATTGATTGTTTTTTAAGTACAGGGGCTTAATTGACTATTGTGATATACTATGAGGGTCTATCTGACAGTTTTCCCTAATTTAATTATGGGAAAAGGGGCAAATACCCCTTGAAGTTGTCACCAAAGGGCTTCTAAGCCCTTGAACTTTTATTTTGTGCAAAAAACTTTAAAATCATTGAAAAGAAGGCAATCACCTCCTTGCTAACGGGAGTAACGGTGAGCTACTTAACGTTACAACTACGTAGTATCTATTTGTTCCTTTGTTTACTATGACCATGTATAACAATTTAAATGCATTTTTAATACTTTTTCTTTTAATTTCAGATTATGCTCTACTAATAAAGAAGTAAATCTAGAATATTTTGGTCCTAAAATCGCATACTTCGACTCTTTTTAAATAAGTGTAACATGTTGAATTTTACACTATTCACATGTTCTAATTTAGTTACTCTTTATTTATTAATGTATCAATAAATTATTATTTTTGAAAATATTTTTGAATTTTTCTCATTGTAAATTTTCAAAATATGTTTTTCATTAATAGAGAAATATACTCCCTCCGTCCCTAAATTAATTTTCAAATTTCATTTTTTCATCTTAAAATAATCTTCTTTTTGCAAAGAACTTGTGGTTCACAACATGTTGTACACATTCTTACACGTTTCTCTCTCTTCAGTTTAATCCTCCACCACACAATTTTATCTTTCTTCATTCCCTTGCAAAACCATCTTCGAAAGATAATTCAGGGGCGAATGAAGCATCTATTAATATTCAAAGTTATGTATTGATAAAAATGAAAAGTGAACTTTGGCACTTATTTATGAACGGTAGAAGTATTACGCAAATGCCAATTTATCATGACTACCAAATACAAGATATTCATTAAAAAAAGAAATACTCCGTACAATACAATATTCATTAATTGTTAGCACTCCGTACTAACAAATTTATTCTTGACAGGATTACATCTATATGTCGTATTTTTCTTTGGGGAAGCAAATTCGCTAGGGTTGCCTGGGCGGATATTTGTCTCCCGAAAGATGAAGGCGGACTTCGTAATAGGTTAGGCACGTGTGACAATCTTCATAGATTAAATGTGGTTAATACTTGTGTATTGTGCAAGGGTGGACCAAAAACGGTTCCACACCTCTACTTTGAATGCCCCTTTTCAGGTAAGGTCTGGACTATGATGAAAGCATGGATAGGTATTCCACGGCTGATGGGGACCCTAGCTAGCTCGGTCAAATGGATCAAGAAGGAAAGGAGCAGAGCTAATGTGCAAGCCAAGGCTGCTAGCATTGCGTTCTCGTGCACCATCTACTGGATTTGGAGGGTCAGGAATGCAGCTATATATATTTGATGGATTCTTACCAAAAGAGGAGGAAGTTTTTGCTAGAATAAAATATGTTGTCTATAATATTTTGTTTAGCATATATCCCTATGAGCTCGTAGTATTCTGATACTTTCCGCCCATCCCCCCTCTTTTTTTTGCTTGTGATAGGCTGTGAGGCAGCGTAGGGGGCTACTATGGCACCCCTATGTCTTGGCAGGTGATGGGTTATCCAATCTTTGGATAACCTACATTTTTGCTCATATTTTGTTGTACAAACAGACTCTTTGGACGGTTTCTAATATACTTACATGTTATCCAAAAATAATAATTGGTTTAAAGAATTGAGGGAACCTAATAAACACAATAACACTAGTGACGTGGTACGAAATTTTCCCTAAATTTTTATATTCCATATACTACGTATGTTTTTTGGCAATGTACTCCATATATTTTTAAAAATCGAATAAAACCGAATCGAACTAAAAACAATTATTATATTATTAAAACATAACAAATTCAGACCGAATCATACTGAAATATATTGTAATTTTTCTTGGGTCATGAACGGAGGCACAACAACATCACGTCACTATACCATTGTGTTTTTTATCACGGGGGAAATCTGCGATGAAAATAACGACGGCGCATCCAGCCGCAATGAGTGTTTGTTGGGTTCCGTGGATTATCTTTTAAACCAATTCATTTGTATTGTATTTATTTTTTAATTAATATCTGGTATTTGTTATTCATGATAAATTGACAAATGCATGATACTTCCTCCGTTCTTAGATAAGTGTCAAAATTCACTTTTCATATTTTTAAATGCATAACTTTGACCATTAATATATATTTCATCTGTCCCTGAATTATCTTCCAAAGTTGGTTTTGCACGAGATTGAAGAAAGGAAAAAACGTGTGGAGACTGGAGAGTTGTATTGAAGAGAGAGAAATATGTAAGAATGTGTAAAACGTGTTGTGAACCACAAATTCTTTGCAAAAAAAAATTATTTTGAGAAGGACGAAAAAGAAAATTATAAAATTAATTCAGGAACGGAGCGAGTATTATTCTATTAATAAAAAACAGATTTTGAAAACTTCAAATGATACAAATTTAAAAATATTTTAAAAATAATAATTTATTAATACATTAATAAATAAATCATAGTTAAAGTAAATCATGTGAATAGTGTAAAATTCAACATGTTTCACTTATTTAAGAAGGGAGAAAGTATATTTTAGAACCAAAATATTTTTGATTTACTTCTCCCACTAAAATTAAAAGAAAATTGTTAAAAATATTGTCAAATTGAAATTGTTATATACGGTCATAGCCACTAAAGGAACAAAGTTAATAGTTGCCAACTCCGTTAACTAAGTTCACGTTAAGAAGGGGGCGAATGCCCTCCATTCATTGCTTTTAAAGTTTTTTGCCCAAAAATAAAGTTTAAGGGCATATATGCCCTTTGGTGAATAGTTTAGGGGGGGTTTTGCGCCTTTTCCCTTTAATTATTATTCATAAGCAAAGCATTATTTGTTTTTGTATACATAGTACATAGGAAGTAAAATACCGAGTAGTATTTATATACATACGCACTAAACACTTCTCGGATTGGGAAATACACAACCTGCCGATTAGCTTTAGCCTCCTCCCCCGCCGATCATCTCTATACGCACTACGAAGGTTGAGTTCTCAAGGTTATTTTCCATCTATAAAGATGGGAGATATTCGGTCATGAGAAAAGGACTGTGCGCGCGGAAACTGAAATCCATGGTGGAAGGAGACACCAAAACTGAAGAAAAAATTGATAAGGCCGTTGCCGCCTTGCCGGTAGAGAGGATGAAGATGGGATCTGACGACCGGCGGTGTGTTTGACGGAAAATCAGACTGGCAATGTGTTTGACGGAAGCGAAAGAGTGTTGCTTTTACTTATTCCTAATTTTGTACGACGTATATGATTCCTATAAGGGAAAAAAATTGGTAGAATTTAGTTTTTTGCTGAGTTGGCAATGGGATGGGCTTTCTAAAACTAGAAGGTGGGATAGACACCGTCCCTATTTTTTCATTCCAGGTCATCACCACAGCCATCATCCATACTGCTGTTGGAGATGTTTTTTTCCGAAGTTGGACGTGGCAGTGCATTTAGAGCAATCGATGCTCTTGTTAAAGATGCTCTAAAAGTGAGAATAGAATGGGAGATGAATAAGTGGCTTGATAACCTACTAGATAGAAGTCCTAATTGAGTGTATTAAACACGTCGTGTGCCTAGTTAGGTGCTAAGTTAGTATGTCTTTTTTTTTAACAAGGGGCTTATATTGATAATAAAACATTCAACAAGGGATACAAACGACAAAGGAAATACTTCCAGCCACCGACCCTCGGACTAGCTGGAGAACCAATCACCCTATATAGAGCAATATGATTCGCTTGTCCTATAATGGGTCTAAATGAGCCAAACGTGGCTAGAGCAAAACCTCCATCACCCCTACCTAATGTAAGAGTCTGACTAAAAACGACAATACAGAAAGCAACAACGACAGAACTCGTCATGTCAAAGAAACTCAACGAGAGTAAAACAAAATTAAATAAACTAAACTGACAGCGAAAACGAATCCCTGCTTCAAGCATCATCCTTGGCGGTGGCTCAGGAGGGGGACGGATCAACACTTCTTCGTCTTCTTTTGCCCGTAGACTCCTGTTCGGAGCCTCTTCCTCGCCCGTGACCTCCTCGTCCAGAAACAGATCATCTTCATCACCCTCAAGAATCATGTTATCACACTTGATGATCATCTCCTCCATATCCGTCTTGACCGCAGCCCGTTCGGATTGCGTGTGACTCACTTGACAGAATTGTTGTTCCCAATAATCGCAACGCTTCTCGGATTCCAATTGATCGTCGATCTCATCAGCGGACGATGAATAGCGGTATCCTGCAGTCTCCTTCTCAAAACCCCCAAAGCCGAAAGAAGAAAAACCTGCAAAACAATAAAACAAGAAGACGCTAAGGGAATCGCCAAAACCCGGCGTAATCCCAAAGCCGAAGAAACACGAACGAACGCAAAGCTGCGCCACTTCCAACCCTAATTGCTAGGGAGATGACCGCCTTTAACGATTCTAGCTAGAAGTAAAAACAGGTATGCCGGCAAGTTGAAAACTGACAAGGCATGAGAGTGTATTAATTAACTTCATGCTAAGTTAGTATGTCTGATCGGGCGTTTTTTAAGTAGGAGAATATAATTAAGAATTTGGCAATACTATGAAGAATTATTAAAGGCTAAAGGGTCAAATAGGTACATGAACTAACTTAAAGTGTTCAATTAGCCCCTTATATAGGAGGTTCTGCCCGGCCGTCGCCAATTGGGGCGGTTCCTGGTGGAATTTTTTGATGAAAATTTTTGAGCATCTTCTTCATTAAGTCTAGTTTACTCATATCAAATTTCAGCTAAAAATTAAATCGGGAAGGCAGTCAAATGATTTTCCAAAATGTATTGTGTTGTTTACCTGCTCAGTTATCTTCAAAAAATCATTTGACTGCCTTCCCGGTTGATTTTTTAGCTGAAATATGGTATGGATAAACTAGACTTAATGAAGAAGATGCTCAAAAAATTTCATCAAAAAATTCCATCGGGAAACGCCCCAATTGGCGACGGCCGGGCAGAACCTCCTATATAAGGGGCTAATTGAACACTTTAAGTTAGTTCATGTACCTATTTGACCCTTTAGCCATTATTAAAAGTTTTTCCAAATTTATATATTCAGAAATTATCTTAAATTTAAAAGTTCGATCTAGTTAGTGGCATAAAGAAACAAATTTCAAACGATTAAAATTTATTATACTAAACTTAAGATCAAAAGATCGAGAACTCGATCAGTTAAATATATGATGTACATAAATACATGTTTCAAATATTATATGATTTATTTGTGAGTGTTTTAATTTTTCATCACTATATTCCTTTTATCTTTATATAATCAACTATACTCAATATACAATTACTATATAAAACATTATTAACTAATATGAAGATATAATTTCAGTTTTTGTTTGAGGCACCAAACATTCTTAAGACGACCCCGGTTACTCTTGACACAATCAAGTAAAATTGATCATGGCAAAAGAAAACAATTTTTTTCAACAACAAACCAAGACATTGTATTTGACTTTTATTTGCAATCTTGACATAATAAATCATGTTTGAGTATTCTCTGGTTTAGAATCGGAACAACAAGCAAATACATGAAGATGTTAGAGAATGCCTGGTTAGTTGCACAAATCTTTTGCACTATTTGGAGAAACTGTTACAGCTCCTCCGTGCAAAAATCAAACCTTCTTAGTTTCTAAATTGTTTTGGAACCATTATTTTACAGGTCTTAATAGGAAAGGAAATATACGAAAAAATGGCACTTATTAGTAACAGAGTTTCTCCAAACAAAATTAAATATGACTCGTCATGTTTTTTGGACAAAAATATGACTAGCCAATATGTACGAGTTACTAAGCAAGAGTCACTATGATGTATTTTAGAGTGACATGTCACAAGTCATTGATCGATGATGAATCGTGAGGGAACTAGTCACGAAATATGATTTTATTTTTTATTTTTTTTAAAATAAGTCAATTTTTTTTCTTTTTAATTTAATTTAAGAAAGATCAAAATACGGACTACTATCTTTTGACTCCTAATTGAGATTTTGTTGTTGTTAAATTATATCACCGGTCTTCAAGGGTAAGTTTATTCCATTCTTTCATTATTAATGATGCGGCCGTAGATGGTTGTGATAAAACGTTGTCGTGGGAGGAGGTGAAGCTACGAGCCTACGACTATGCACTATTAGCAAGTTTTCACCATTATAAATAGAACTAGTTTTTCAACGCGCGTTGCGCGTGTGGGATAGTGCCCAATACCATTGACAATATAATTTTGAATCCACCAAGACCATCCACTCTTCCAAATGATATGATATACATCCTAGAACGGCAGCGATTGTGGTCCACTTTTCTAATATTTGATTAGCTAATTAACTCGGGAGAAAACATAGGAGCAATTGTGGCCCAAGGAAAGTGAAAAAGATCTTCCAAAATCGTAAAAATGTATGATATTTTTTTTTTTGATAAATAAGGATGTTTTTATTGAGACTGATTGCAGTCCCAAACAAGACCAAAATAGACCAGATCAAGTTTAATTAGACCAGTCCATATTTAAGACCAACCCTGATCATACCAGACTTCAATAGTTATAAAATAAGATAGGGCAGACATCACCAGTCCAGACCAGACCTAAACAAACCCGGTCATACCAGATCAAACCAAATGAGGCCAGAAAATTACAATCCACTTAAATACGGAGTACATCTTAATAGCCTAAAAATGATATATGTTTTATGGGAATAGTTTAAAAGCCATTATCAGCCAAAAATATTAATATATACTACGAGCATGTTTATTAGGCATATGTCCTGAAGAGTTTTACTACCAAATCAGATTTAGGTCTAGTTGCCTTGAAGAGAGAAGTACAAAACCCAATCCATTTTCACCCAACATACTATTAGGTTAGACATTTCTTGTAGTTTTTAGTAGGTCGTTTAAGTGTTGATGACCATAAATATAATTGTCATTCCTATGTATCAATTCGATATTGATGTTCTTGTGATTATGATACAACCAACTTATATATTGGAGGAAGCATACATGGTATATAAAAATAGACCGGATCCACTTTTCTAATTAGCTCAGGAGAAAACACGAGAGCAATTGTGGCCCAAGAAAAGTGAAAAAGATCTACCAAAAATCGTATAACTTTTGATAAATAAGGATGTTTTTATTGGGACTGATTGCAGTCCCAAACCAAAATAGACCAGATCAAATTTAATTAGACCACTTCAGACTTAAACAGACCAGATCAGATCGAGCTTCAATGTTTATAAAATACACATAAGTCAAACATCACCATACCAGACCAAAGTACAAGTTTTATCGGTACAGTTTAAGAGCCATTATCAGTCGGAAATATTAATATATACTACGAGCATATATGTTTAGTAGGCATAAGTCCTACCTTCTAGCTTTTCTACTATTTACAAAATTTTGAAAAGTTTCTAGTTGTATATTTGACAGAGTATTAATTAAGAGTTTTTATCAGAATAAAAAATCTTTTTTTGAAAGGATACACTGATTAACATTTGAGAAAATTCTGTAGTATTAAACATTTATTAGCCAGAACAACTTGTACCCTAAATATAATTAAATCAAACAGTCAACTTTTATTATCAAATAGCTAATAATCTTTTCTTTTTAAATCTTTTTAGTCATTAAGAGCTAACAATTACCCTACGCGTACGGTATAATAATGGTCAAAATGCATTTTGTGCTATATTGGAGTCCTACCTGCAATTTGTAAAATGGCCTTTGGAGCACCGTATATGTTTGAGAATTGAGAGGATGAGTAAGAGACCTGCGGCCTAATTGACTTATTCCCATGCATAGAATATTCTTTTTATTGGAAAGAGGAAAAATATTGTTTATTAATAACCAAAATAAATGTTTTTAGAGTTGAGATTAAACTCCTAAAGAGTTACAAAGCCACAAAGGCAACGGAAATGATTGGATTTATTTTCAACTAAACGGAAAGAAACGGAAGAAGTGGGTTATAAAGGTCAATCAATTCGAAATGTACAACTTATTATGCATATTGAACAAACTTTTATTGCTTCTTTATTACACTAACATTTTTTTCATTCCTAATGCACCCTTACCATCATTGGTGCTTATAGTTTTTCAAAGATTCCAATCTAACCAGTATATTATATTCTTCAAAATAGTGTAACAGAGTTTCTTCAAATAGTGTGGAGGTTACAACTCTTCCGTGCTGGGCTGAACCTCTGATGCGCACGAGTAAAAGACATACCTATTTTGGGCTGACTAAGTCACTGTGACTTACTCCTTCACCATCTTGTTGGGTCGGGGTGTGAAGGCTCCTGACGTGGGAGATCCACCTTTTGGACATATTAATTTTAAACACAATAGTTACGTAACAAAGTTAACCTCAACAAAATACACTTAATTTTGTTAATTACCAATGTTCAATTTTCATTTTATTTAAATTTTATTAACTGAACCAGACTCATGTACATCATTAAATTAAAAAAGAATCACTTAGCATATGATTAAGCAAAGAAGATAAACAGTTAAAGCTATTAATTCATTTTTGCAGGAAAGAACGTTGAAAAACTTAACTAAAACAACAGACAAGCAATAGTTAGGTACAATGGTTCGTGGAAAATTATTTTACCCTCATATGAAACACGCTGAGCTCAAATTGCCAACAGCCTCTCTAACTTTAAAAAGGTCTTAACAAGTATATAGAAGCTTAATTTAATCTGTAAAAGGTGGAAATCGGAAGCGACACTAACATGGTGCTTAATGAAATCACATGTATCAATTTGGACATTTTATGTTTTCCTGCTGAAAAGTTATTGTATAAATAGTATAAAACATAAAACATAAAATGAATACTCACAATATTATACAGTGAAACACTGTGAATGTAAACAAATATGTTAAACAAAAAATACATAGTTGGACAATGAAATATTAAAATCCCAGAATTTATATAAACTGATGAAATAATACAACTAAGTATCTAATTGAAGCTATTATGGATGCTCCATGTACCGTATTGTAACCCAAGTGTGAAAACATATTATTACTCTGTATTTAGTAACACCCAGCCATATTATTAAGAGCAAGATAATATCAAAAACATATAGAGGCCATTTGGAACCATTATTTTTCGGCTTATCAAGCTTATCAGCCAACTTTTCTAACCAAACACGTATTTTTTGCTCTCGCGCGCTAAATTGTGTAACAAGCAAAAAAAGTACACATTTTGTGTACATCTTGTGTCCGCCAAGAATGAAAATTGTGTTAGTACAGTTTTGTCAAGAAACCATCCGATTAAAGATACTACCCACTTGAGAGTCTTTCCACAATAATTGAAGCAAAAATTACTCTAAAATATCAGATATAAGAACACGAACCTGCCATGTCAGTACGTCACTGATTCACTGATGCCACTTTACCAAAACCAGAGCTTCCTGCCAGACTTATTTCAACGGAAAAAGAAGAAGAGGGAGGGAGCACAGAGGTCTGGGAGGAAATGAATGTTCAATTGTATAGTATTGATTTTCATTTAGAAATGAAGATGTATGCTTTCACTAACAATCTCATAATCATCTGTATAAACTAATGAGCATTTAAAACCGATGTAGCAGTAGGATTTCAATTCCCTGAAATTTCTGAGCTTGCTGTCCATAAGCCCGATTGGACACAAGTAGGGATTGAGCTCCCCATCTTCCTTGTGAGTATGAGCATTCTAAGCAGTAGGATTTCCCTCAAAGATGTTTGAATATATGTTTTAGAGTATCCGGTTGGGGCGTTCATGTTGAAAGGGCCCTCCTTGACCAGAGATGTCGCTGCCCGGGTCTATGGTGAGAATCAGGATCAGCTTGCCAAGAATTTGGTCTGGTTCGCCTTCCGATCCTTGGGTAGAAAGCACCCCACGGAGTGTGCGTGCTCACCGTCTCAAGGTCTCATAGGTCCCACCTTGTTTTTGCAGCAGGAAGTTCTTCCAAGTCAGGCCGTGAGATCTCGTGGTCGCCGTTGATGGGTCCTCGTAAGGTAGCCAGATCCTGATTAAATTCACGCACCTGTGTTGAAATCTCTTCTAGGCCATGACCTTCTCTGAAAGCCCTATCATTGTAGATCTCGTTTGGTGGGTGTAGACTCACTCTAGTGCATGGTCTCTCCCTGGTAGCAGCACTCTGAGGGAGACGAATCTGGCCATAGCAGCATCTATTTTCATCTTATTAAATTAAACTATTAATTGAGCTCAAGTTTACGGAAGCAAAACCGTTGCTTCGATGGGAAAGTTAACGTCGTGACCCGTTGCCTTTGCCATAACAGCCTAAAGCTTCGACTCGAAATGCATTTCCTACAATCACCTAATGCAAAGAGAGACACGAACACTTTTTTAAAAACCATTATACCCCTAACAATATTCATGCTTATATAATTGTAGAGATTAGTATAATATTAATTTGTCATAAATATCATATTTAAGCTCGATGTTTTTTATGATGATCTAATGATTGGAATTAATAGAAGGACATATTCACTCCATACACACTTTACTTTGTGTGTTAGTGTAAAAAATGTTAATACTTTTCTAAATTTAAATTTAGTAACCTTTTAATTTCTCATTTTCTAAAGAAAAAATTGACAAGAATAATATCACATTTCACTGGTCTTCTCATAATAATCCCATCTTTAAGTAATACAAGAATAATCTCACTTTTGTATCTCATCTTCTTTCATTGGACCCTGACCTATTGATGACCTACAGAGGTGGGATTATTTATATAAGATTTTCAAAAAAATGGGTCCAATGAAAGAAGATGTGATGCAAAGGTGAGATTATTCTAAGATAACGTAAATGTGAGATTATTATGAGAAGACCAGTGAAAAGTGAGATTTTTTTCTGACCAGAAAAAGCGACTATATTATTAATAAATCATTAGCCAAAGGGCTTACAATACAGTCTGGAACAATATCATAACTAATACTATGATCTGAGATAGAGACATGCGTTCTCGCCAAAGCGTGAGCCGCACGATTCGCAGATCGTCTAAAAAAAGAGATATTAAAACATCTATGACTATTAATTAAAAACTGTATATCATCAAGGAGTAAATCCATATATGCTAAACCTCCCTCTTGCCTGACTCCCCGAACCACCGTTTGAGCATCTGTTTCAACATCCACAGCTTCCCAACCCTCCTCAATTGCCCCTTTAAGTGTCTCTCTCACCCCAAAGGCTTCGGTTTCCTCCGGTGACCATTCGGCCTTGCACGAACCTCCCCCTGCCTTAATAAACTCGCCCCGATCATTCCTTGCCACCCAACCCCATGCACGAATGCCTCGAGTCGAATCCACTGCTGCGTCACTATTTATCCACTGCGGCCCGACCCGAGTCCACCACTACTCTTGCCATGGCAAAATGATAAAAAAAAATCACATTTTAGTTTTAATTTACGTTTATCTTGTAAATAAATATTGAGATAAAGTCTCATTGTTCATATTTTATTCAATTATTCATTGCAATGTTTTTGTTCCCCAATGTTCCTCTTCATTCCAGATGGGGTGATTTGAAGAAAGACTCGAAAAATAATGTTTAGGTATGTGGAAAACTAGCCACAATGTTTTTGTTCCCCAATGTTCCTCTTCATTTTCAAGTTTTTTTTGGTTGTTTCCCTCTCCGTATTAAAGACTGACGTCTTGTTTTGGTCGAGTCAGCGAGTTTAGGAAGACGTCCGACTATGGAAAGGGTCCTTGACAGTGTTTAGTTTTTTTTGCCACCTCAGTCACACGTAACGAAAAAATTTAGCATTGGAGGGAGATAAAAAAAGTAAGGCTAAAGGGTCAAATAGGTACATGAACTAACTTAAAATATTCAATTAGCCCCTTATATAGGAGGTTCTGCCCGGCCGTCGCCAATTGGGGCGGTTGCCGGTTTAATTTTTTGATGAAATTGTTTGAGCATCTTATTCATTAAGTCTAGTTTACCCATATCAAATTTCAGCTAAAAATTAAATCGGGAAGGCAGTCAAATGATTTTCCAAAATGTACTGTGTTGTTTAACTGCATAGTTATCTTCAAAAAATCATTTGACTGCCTTTCCGGTTTCATTTTTAGCTGAAATTTGGTATGGATAAACTAGACTTAATGAAAGAAAAGCTCAAAAAATTTCATCAAAAAATTCCACCGGGAACCGCCCCAATTGGCGACGGCCAGGCAGAACCTCCTATATAAGGGGCTAATTGAACACTTTAAGTTAGTTCATGTACTTATTTGACCCTTTAGCCAAAAAGTAAATGTCTAATTTAATGATGTGGCGCACTTTACCTAGACTAAACTTGGATGCATTGTGGATGCTCTTAACAAACTTAAAAATACGATCAGACCGGACCATATCAAACTAGAAAGTCTCAGTACCAGTGAAAACATTCTTCCCAATTGTTTTAACACCATTGTTGTGCAGCATCAACAAAGAGAACTTTGCCTTCAAAATTCAAATTGTGAGAGATTTTTGTTATTGAAGTTAGGGGAGAGATCGATTATGTACATCTTTACCCATTAATTTCCTTACTTATGCCTTACACTGTGCAAAAGTGCAACAGCATTTATCAAGCGTACAAATTAGTATACTTTAATTTTATTCAAAACACAATTTGTAAAAACGATAAGAGGTGATTTGGTAAAACTAAGTGAATTATATTTTGAACAATAACCTCTATCATTTTGCAACAATTTACATTCATTGTTATTTACTTTGAGTAATGCTACGATATCCAACATGAATTGCACACTATATACGGAGTATAAAACAGTAATCTGTATTTCATACCGAAAAGAAACAAAGTCACAATTTCAAACGGTGACCGCAACTCATGTAATAACTATATATATGGTTCTAGCATTTTGCTTGACTTCATAATTCTCAATGTACGAACTTTAAGGGGCGCATCATCACATTGTCTTCATGATCTAAAATCTGCAAAATACAAAACCAAGCATAACTATTTGCAAAATCCAAATGCATAACAAAATATGATGATGCTTAGTTGCTTACATAATATACTTCAGTACATAGTTGTAGGAGTTTGTATGATGATAGTTTAATTGCTAGGTTTATTATGTCATGGTCAAAATTTTAGGGTAATAAAACTCTAATCTAAAAGCTTTACTTAAAGTAAAGATATGCTGAATATAAAAGGTTTTTTTTAGTTGGCAAAACTGAAAATAAAAGATATATGACATGTTGAATATATTCCAAAGTTTGAAGTTTCATATGTTCACTATGAATTAAAGATGCGAAGGATAAAGGTTATCGATTAGAATTCAACTATTCAAGTGATTGAAAACTCTCCATCAGAGACCTAATGGAGTATTTGTTTTTTTTTTAATTTGGATGAATTTACTTTGCGAAATATATATATTCCGTATGTAATTTTTAGCAAAATAAAATTCAGATTAAGTGACCAAATGCAGTACTTATTCTCGATAATATAATTAGTGGGCTATAATGCAAAAGGAATAACTATAATACAGAATTATATATGATCTGCATACTTACATGGCAATGGTAAGCATAACCCGGCTCTGCTGTTGCGTCGAAAGGATAGGAAGCATTTGAATGGATGAAGGAAAATCTCACAAATATTCTTGTTACATATCCGGGTATCATCTTGTACACATTCTTCCACCCCCTCTCGTGTGGCGGCACCGCTACCTTTTTTCCGTGTTCATACTCCTCCCCAATATTACACTTGATAGCATCATTGAACTTCACCATACATGCTTTAAACTCCTCTTCTTTGACTAACTTGGTTTGATCCAACACCTTAAAAACACCCAAATGGATGTGGAGTGGGTGGTTATCCTCCGTTAAGTTTATGACATACCATATCTCGCCCGTCCCCATCTTTGGTGTCTCCGTAATGGGCTCATCATCGTACGATTTACCGTTGATGTACAAGTGTGTTGGCTCATCAATGTCGCTCGCGTACTCGAACATTGCGATGTATCGTGTGGTTGAAGCATGGGAAACATTAGGGGGAGGATATTTGATTAGTTTATTCGGAACGTGTGACGAGTCCACCTCACGTTTATCAAGGATGACAAATTTCATAACCTTACCATTGACGCCATCTGTCGGGTCCCCCGAAGGGTAGGGGTATGCTGCATCATTAGCTAGGATCGTCGAGTTTGATTTTGACTTTGAAAAGTCAACCACAACGTCAGCGATTTCCGACGGGGCTAGAAGGATCTCACGGAGCTCAACGGGGCCCTCGTTGTAAGACGAATCGGATGCCACGTGGATAAAAGTCAAGTTATTTGTGAAGTAGAACTTGAAAAACCTAGCATTACTTGCATTGATGATCCTAAAACGGTACTTTCTCCTTCTTACAACCATATAGGGCCATGCTTTGCCGTTGACTATGATTGCATCACCAAAATACTCGGGTTGCCATTGCGGGTGAATGGTCGGATTGTTACCTTTGGTGTTCATGTAAATCGAACCGTTGGTGTAGAAGCTACGGTCAAAGACGACCAACACACGGTCATAGTCAACGCCATGCGGCAGTCCAAGTGGGGCCTCAACATTGGGTTGACGTAAGACGTAGGCCCCAACCAAGCCAGCCAAGAGGTTGACCCTGGTCAACCCCATTGCATGATCATGGTACCACATGGTCCCAGGATGTTGATGGTTGTGATAGTGGTACTTCTTCTTGGTCCATGTGGGCCCACGGTCTCGAAAACTGGCGGTGAACCATGCTTTTGGGTGTCCATCGCTCTCTGGCTCATCTATTCCTCCATGGAGGTGGACTACTGTGGGGACGCCCCTACCATTGTTTGGTATAGCCGTTGGAATAGTTGGATCCCAAGGAAGGATGTGTTTGGATGGAAGGTTATTCTTCCACACCACATAAGTCTCGACTCGATGAAGTGCCTCGATTGTTGGACCAGGCACCGTTGCGGTGCGCCTCGAAGTACCGTATGAGAACACTGGTGTTGGAGGAAGATTTCTGTGGAATTTCTGCAAATCATAGATTATGAAGTATTAGTAGTGTAGTGACACATTTTTAATTAAGATTGAAACTATTCAAATTTCCAAATAGCATGAACATTTGGCAAATTTGCAATTATATACCATCAATTAAGTAGTCCTTTTCCCTTTATATATGTGTGTGTAAAAGTATGACTTGATAATTTTCAGATTTTATGTCTCTCTAAAATTATTTGACACACAAATGGTAAGTTTGAAACAAAATTTTTAAGATGAATGGATTAGATTGATAGGAAGCACTAATGTTCTTTAGATGGTTGCGTTTTTTTTTATTCGGATGGAATAAGTGTATGTTTGATGTGTTCTTTTATTACATGATCTTCAATCACCGGCTAATCTAGAAAAATATGTGCTGGAAGTAATTAGGGTATAAAGTTGTATTTTATTCCATGCAATATTGCCGTATATATACAAGAAAGAAGGCTGTGTACTCGAGCCCTACTATACATCATAAATGGGCCAATTAGAATAAATCATAAACATACGTATAATAATATGGACCGGTTAACACCCCCCCTCAAGTTGGAGCATGCGGATCACAAATGCCCAACTTGCAACGTAAGTAATGAAACTGTTGATTCCCCAATGCTTTAGTGAAGATATCCGCAAGTTGCTCGGTTGAAGATACATGAGACGTATGAATAATCCCATCCTGAATTGCATCACGAACATAATGGCAGTCCACTTCAATATGCTTAGTACGTTCATGAAATACTGGATTCTGGGCAATATGTAAAGCAGACTGGCTGTCACAGTGTAACCGTATGGGCTGAGGATGTCGAATGCCGAAACTTAGCAAGAGTGCTTTGAGCCATTTGAGCTCAGAAGTAACAGACGCCATAGAACGATATTCCGCCTCTGCAGAAGAGCGAGAGACAGTATGTTGCTTCTTAGTTTTCCAAGAGACAGGGGAGTCACCCAGAAAAACCAACCAACCAGTCAGAGAGCGTCGCGTGATCGGACAAGTAGCCCAGTCGGAGTCACACCAAGCAGAAAGAGAGAGATCACACTGAGAACGGAGAAGTATACCTTGTCCTGGTGTACCCTTCAGGTAGCGTACTATACGGAGGGCGGCTTCCCAATGATGAAGACATGGAGCATGCATGAATTGAGCCAACGTGTGAACAGCAAAAACTAGATCGGGCCGCGTAAAAGAGAGGTAGATTAAGCGCCCGACCAAGCGCCTATAGGCCTCGGGATCCGAGTGAGGTGCACTCGTGATGGCCGCCAGATTATGATTCGGAATTAACGGAGTAGTGACCGGTTTGGCACCGAGAAGACCGGCATCGGAGATAATGTCTAGAGTGTACTTGCGTTGACAAAGAAAGAGGCCATCAGCATTCCGGGCGACTTCGATGCCCAAAAAAAATTTAAGAACCCCCAGATCCTTCATATGAAAGCAAGTGTGCAAATAACGCTTGAACTGAGCAAGAGCATCCGAATTATTCCCTGAAATGATGAGATCATCGACATATACCAGGACATGTAACTGAACTGCATTACGGTGAAAGATGAAGAGGGAATAGTCCGAGTAGGATTGACAGAACCCATAATTTTTTAAAGAGGAGGTTAGCTTGGCAAACCAACAACGCGGAGCCTGACGCAACCCATATAAAGATTTTTTGAGTCGACATACAAGACCGGGAGAACTGGGAGTGAAACCCGGTGGAAGTTTCATATAAACTTCATCAGCGAGATCCCCATGGAGGAACGCGTTATGAACGTCCATTTGATGGAGCTCCCAATTGCGAGCAGCAGCTACCGCAAGAAAAACCCGTACTGTGACCATCTTAGCGACAGGAGCAAACGTTTCATTGTAATCCAGACCGGCAACCTGATGATTACCCAAAGTGACAAGTCGGGCTTTCATGCGTTCAACAGTTCCGTCGGAGTTATATTTAAGTTTATATACCCACTTACACCCCAAAGCCTTCTTATTTGGAGGTAATGGAACCATTTCCCACGTTTGATTATTTTCAAGAGCACGAATCTCATCAGCCATGGCATCCCGCCAGCCTTGATGTTGCATGGCTTCAGAAAAAGAACGTGGCTCTTGGCCATGCAAAACTGCTGCGATAAAGGCTCTGTGTGAAGCTGAAAATTTGTCAAAACAAATAAAGTTAGTGAGGGAATAGGGTGTACCTGGGGAACCACCGGCGAGAGACGAGGAGACTGGAATCGGACGTGTACTACTAGCTGCATGAGTCATGAAGTCACGGAGCAATACTGACGGCCGCCTTTCCCGATGACCACGTCCCAGTTGAGTATCAGGTGAAGACTGCCCCGATAAAGAAGGCTGGTCCGGTATGGAAGAGCCATCCCCAGCAGAAGATTCAGGATTAGGAGGGACTGGTGGCGTGGGTGGAACATGTGCGGTCTCCTCAAGGCTGACTGTCTCCGAGGCAGAATCGTCATCATCAAAACCCAAAGTAAAAGGTAGCGACGCCGGGTCGGCAGAAGTATCCGGCTGAGGGGGCGTGGCATATGGGAATTCATGTTCATAGAAAATAACGTCACGAGATACAAAATACTCGTGGGTGTCCAAATCAAATAATTTCCACCCCTTTTTTCCATTGGGATATCCAACAAAAATACACCTACGACCGCGGGGAGCAAACTTATTGCCTTTGGCGCGCTGATTATGAGCAAAGCAAAGGCAACCAAACACACGCATTTCATCATAAGAGGGAGGCTGTCCACACAACAATTCAAACGGTGTTTTATTGTCGAGAAGCCCAGACGGAGTGCGATTAATTATATAGACAGCAGCAAGAATGCACTCACCCCAAAAAGTGATCGGGAGATTAGCCTGAAACATAAGGACTCGGGCAACATTGAGTATATGTTGATGCTTGCGTTCTGCCCGTCCATTTTGTTGGGGAGTCCCGACACAAGATGTTTGAAAGATAATTCCATGAGATGCAAAATAATCAGACATACACGTGAATTCCGTCCCATTGTCGGAACGAACAATTTTGACCGCGGTTTCAAACTGACGTTCGACCATGGCCAAAAATGAAGAAAGAACTTTAGAAACTTCGCTTTTAGCTCGTAATAAATACACCCACACACCGCGGGAAAAATCATCCACAATAGTCAAAAAATAAATTGCATCACACGACGAAGGAATTTTATTTGGTCCCCACAAATCACAATGTATGAGCTCACAAATACGAGTTGCTTTATTTTGACTAATAGGAAAACTACCACGTGTCTTCTTGGCAAGCGGGCAAGCAATACACGTTTTATTCAGACCTTTTCGGCCACAACTACTTTTAATAATAGGAACTAACTTGAGCACTCTGTCTGAAGGATGACCCAATCTCCGATGCCACAAATCAAAAATGCCAAGATCTGTCAGAGTGTTTAACTGAGCTTTAGGAATCCTCCGGAAGTAGTACAGTCCGTTCCGTCTCTCACCGGCTCCAATCAGGTTCCCCGAGAGTTGGTCCTGTATCGCACACAGATCGTCAGTGAATCGAACCACACATTTAGAATCATCAATTAATTGTGTGACCGAAATTAATTTACACATTAAATTAGGCACATATAGCACATTTTTGAGAACAAAATTCTCAGACAAATGTACATTCCCAACCAAACTTGCCACGACTTGTTGTCCATTAGGTAGGCCCACTGTCCATTGATCAACGGAAACACAATTGGTGAGAGAGTCAGCATTACCCGTTACGTGGTGAGTTGCTCCGCTATCAATTATCCATGAATGAGAATTTGACTTACCACTCATGCGGTCCATCCCGGAAGTTCCTGTATTGAGCATATTAATGAGGGCTTGCACCTGTTCTGCACTAAGCTGAGGTGATGCTTCAACTTCATGGTCTGGTTTCGCGGTTTCGTCCATTACAGCGTGCGCATGGGACTGTTTTCGTCCACCGGATCCACTGCGCGAAGTGCCAGTCCCGCTTCGAGTGGTCTGCTGCGTTTTTCCTCCTTGGTTACGGTCTGCCCACCATTCCGGGTATCCATAGATTTTGAAACAGCTTCCCACCTCGTGCCCCTTCATATGACAATGAGTACACTTGAGCTTGCTCTTGTCAACACGTTCCTGGCGGCGTCCAGATTGTTCTGCCTGCAAAGCAAACACGTTAGAGTCATCTTTCACAGATTTTCCTCGTGCTATGTCCCTGGACTTCTCTTCTTGCTTCAAGGTTTGATAAACCCGGTCAAGGGTAACCGGCGTAGGCTGTGAGAGCAAATTGGAGCGAGCCACTGAGTATATCTCATCATCAATCCCGATTAGCAATTGGTGAACCTTCTCTTCTTCTCTATCGTCTGCAAATTTCTTTGCGATATCACACGTACAAGCTCCACAAACGCATGCGTGTAAGGGTTTTAATCGAGCCAATTCGTCAAACAACGACATTAGCTGATTAAAGTAATCATCAAAGGGTTGTCCCTTGGCCTGTTTGCAGTCAACAATATCCGCCCTCAACTGTTGAAGCCTTGGTCCGTTGGCTACACAGTATCGTTTTTCTAGATAGTCCCAAAGCGGTTTTGCTTCCACATGATAGGGAATAGAGGCTGCTATTTTCCCATCTATGCTTCGCAAAATCCACGAGACAATCATGGAGTTTACGGTCTCCCAATTTAGGAGTTTCCGTGCTTCATTCGGCTTATTTATGGTTCCGTCGACGAAGAGAAATTTCCGTCTGGCTTTCAATGAGAGCTGGATTGCCCTTGCCCACGCAACGTAGTTCTCTCCCGTGAGAATGACGTGCGTTATCAAGTTTCCAGGCTGGTCGCCCGATCCCAGGTAGTAAGGTGATGCTGCGTCGATTTTTTCTTCTCCAGCCATGGTGGTCTGCGCGACTTGCGATACTGACGCAATCGCTGGCAGTATAACGAGGGACGAAGACAATAGTCGAGATGGTTTACCAAGCCCAAGGCTCTGATACCATGCTGGAAGTAATTAGGGTATAAAGTTGTATTTTATTCCATGCAATATTGCCGTATATATACAAGAAAGAAGGCTGTGTACTCGAGCCCTACTATACATCATAAATGGGCCAATTAGAATAAATCATAAACATACGTATAATAATATGGACCGGTTAACAATATGGAAAACGTGTTTACTAGCTCTAGTTTCAAAATGTAGAAAATGTAAAAGTGAAAACATGTGTTTCACCATATTTCCAATTCTAGAATGAGAAAACTTAATTTGTTTGTAATCCCGTACAAAAAACCTATAGTTTTTGTTTTGTTGAATTGTTTGTGTACACACATAATTACAAATCGCGTGCAAAGACATATATAAATATTTAATGGCGTGCAAAATTGATTTTTTCCTAAAAATATACTAGTATAATAGTGCAAAAGAGCCACCACTTATTGCTAATGTTACTCACCCCACCACATCAACCAAACTCTACCCTAATCCCACTTCAACTCTATTTTATTCATTCTCATTATTCAAATCAACACAGCCTCTACAAATACAACAGTTGGTATTACCAATAACTATAGATATTAGGATGTTTTCTTTTGGACTGAAATTTGCTGGTCTGGTTTGATCTGATCTGGTTTAGTCTGGTTTGGTCTGAACTGGTCTGGTCTGGTAAACATCCGGTCTCTATGTATTTTATAACTACGAAAGTCAAGTATGGTCTGATTTGATCTGGTCTGGGACTAAAAACAGTCCAAAAGTAAACATCCTTAGTCATATAATATATTGATTGATTACAAGGTCATAACTTTTATGACTAGGTAAATCATATATTTTTATTTATAACAGTTGTAAATCAACTACTCCGTAGTACATATGGCTAATTAAACATGAGGAAGTATCTAAATAAAATGATGGTTTTTTTTATACAGCGGTAGGAAATAAAATGGTGGGGTTATATACTTATATTAAACGATGGACTCCTTTTTTTCTCCTAGACTAGAAATATGTATAGTCAAAGAAGTCAATCAATTTGCGGAAATTTGGTGCGCATCATCCTGATTTTCAGCCTCATCACCTTACATTGGACGACCAAACGCACCCTAAAATATGCCACACAAACTCTTTAGTTGCGTTTGCATTGATTACCAATTCAACGCAGATTAGATCATTTCATTTACACAAACAAGGGTGTTTGGATATGTTTATTAAAATTGGTTTTGCTCTTCCACGGGTCAGAAACCGATATAGGAATTGTTCTGAGTGCACAAAATTGCTCTTAGAGTCAAAATATGTTTGGATTAGTACACAAAATTGCTTCTCATCCTATTTAAAAAAAAAGTAGAAACAAAATCAATTTCTAACCCATCCCTATGTTTTCCATTGCTTTTAAAAAGCACTTTTCATCTTTTTTATCACAAATTAGGGGTGGGCAAAAATACCGAACCGGCATGGTACCGAACCGAACCGATATGGTACCGGACCGAAAAACGGGGTTTGAAACGGATCTCAATTTTTTTGTCCCGAACCGAACCGTACCGATTCTAAACAATGCCATGACCGGTTCTCATAAAATGAGAACCGAAACCGGACCAAACCGGACCGAAGTATGATTTAATTATTTAAATTTACATTTATACCATTATTTTGACTAGTGCCTTTACATTTTCACCGTCTTTGCTAGTTCGTAGGAAGCCTGGAATCGGACCGATGTATGGTTTAATCATTTAAATTTGTACTACTATAATTTATCTGAAATTTATTAATTATGTAATACTACCTTCGTCCCAAATTGATTTGCAAAATTAACTTGTTTTTGTCAAACAGATTCATTTTATTCACTTAACTAGAATGTCAATTTTTAATTATATTTAATTTGGAGCTTGCAACTTTGAAGAAATTTCAATGTAGTTTCTGAATATGTTTATTTTAATTATTACAAATTGAATTAATTATCAATGAAGAGAATTTAACTCTAACATTGGTTGACCAAAAAATAATTAAAATATTGACTTTGCATGTCAATTTGGGATGGAATGAGTATGAAAATTGATAAATTGTGTAGATTTTTGGAGGACGACTAAACTTTAATTGTCTCTTAAACACTTGGAAAAAGTGGCACTGTTTGATATTGGTATGGCATGGTACCGTCCCGTTTCAAAATGAAACCGTACCGAACGGGTTTAGGTCTAAGACCGAACCGAACCGAACCGTTTGAATAGTAACGGTACGGGTACGGGTTCGGCCAAATATTGGACCGGACCGGACCGCGCCCACCCCTATCACAAATGCTAAAAATAGTGTTTTTAAATATAAAATTCAGCTTAAATTCATCAATCAATCACATCCTCCTTGGTCCCAATCTACGAGTGTATGAAGAAGATCAATCCACTTCGGCTCAGGCTTGAAAAGAAAACAATCCTACCAACCTATTTTTAGATCGCCAAAGCACACCAATGTGCATCCAGGCTGTCTTTTGTTTTTCTTAATTAAGGTGTTCATCAATATAAAGACCCTTGAAAACTTTGTTTAAAACAACGGATTAGTTTTAGTATCCCATCATAAATTGTTCAGTCTATAGCCCCAAATTTGTGAAAGATTGAGGGTGCATCATTTAATGATTTTATACTAAACGTAATGCAATATTAATCATTCCGAAAATGAGATGTAAAGTCTAATATTACCAAAAAATTGGAAGACGTCTAGACGTTCTTTTTGACATTGTGGAAAAAATTTATTACCAAAATTGTATAAAATCGTTCAAATAAGAAGAGAAATAATTTATTTACTAATATTTATGTAATTATTTCTCATGTCACATTTGCATCGTGCATATTATAGCATTGGAAATGCTCTGAGTTTACTCTTGATACACAATAATTTTGTATATTTGAGATTCTGGACTCAAATTTAAAATTTGTGTGAATGATAACTAAGCAAACTGTTGACCGTGTAATTATTTTTAACAAACGTGTCGATCAATTGACAAATTCGATGAGTTATCATTATTTGGACTGTTAGAAGTTGTAACAATAGACAGCACTTGGAGTTTCCAAGAAGCTAAAGAGAAAGGACTAAAACAATGATATACTCCGTAAAATAGTACTCCTTACCTTAGAAATTAGAATACACCCTATACATTTTTTTCTTAACTTGGAAATTAGAATACAGTAATACACCCTATACATTTTTTTCCTTCACAAAAAGGTTGTTATATTGTATTGGAAATGAATCTCAAGTATCAAATTTCATGTTCTTTAAGTTTGTATCCGGTCAAAAAGACTATGATTGCTAAAAAATGTTACATGTCATACTTTGAATTACGTAAAGAACTTATGTATTGTATTCTTTTTCTAGACGTCCTTGCATCATCATCATCATCATTCATCATCATCATCATCATTTACCACAGTGTCGCAAAGGCTATCACCTACGGTGGGGTAAGGGAGAGTCGAATGTACACAGTCTTACCCCTAGATGTCTTTGCATACGTAGTAATTAATTTTCATATTCCAAAAAAATTGAATCCCCAACCCCAAGGCCCCCTCACGCCCCGACCCAACAGAGCACATGGGAGGATGTAAGTCACGGTGACTCAGTCAGCAAAGTGGCAGTAGGCTCATACACCCGTGCGCACCAGAGGCCCAACCTTATTTCAGGTTCTGTGACCTCCACCCGGTCGCTGAGAGGATTCGAACCTTGGTCATTGTTCCAAATCTCCGACCATTCGACCAACTGAGCTACCCATGCGGGTTAGTGTAATTTTTATTATTGTTAGCCAAACAAATTTTTATCATTTAACCTACTATACTACCTCGAGTAATAATAGTAGTCCTATCGATGTGTCAAATGATGTTAGATAATGTCAAATAATGGTATAACGACAGTGTACTTCTCAGTAATACTACGTATTTAGCTATTTATTAAATCTAAAAATGGTATTTTCACGAAGGTAAAAAATTAAAATAAGACTACTATAAAATGCAATCTTTGGTTGGCATTGATATTTAAAAAAAATTAAATAAAATAAAAAACTCTTTCAATTTGTTTTTGTATTAATAAAAAAACTTTTAAATACAATTCACCTTCACCTAGAGGCTCATGGGTCATGAGCAAAAAAAAGTTGAAAAGTAGGACATAATTTTTTTTCATGAGTCATGAGCAGGCCACATGCCACATGCCACATCGGATTGTTGAAAAGTAGGACATAATTGATCTGATATACTCCATACGAGTATTAAACAATTAAAAATTGGGTTGAGCTTTGTCATATGCCACCACAGTCAAACCACACCAAACACTTGAGTTCAGCATATTAAGTACATACATGTTCTAGTTATTTGTCCCAAAATTGAAAGAATAGGGAATTTTGATACTCCAGCGGTGAGAATACAACTACTTTTTCATAGATTCTTTTATTGAAGTGCAGGGTAACTATTTTTAGAATAAAATATTTATTTTGTGAGCATATTTTTTTTTATTTTTATGAAGTATATACAAGGGTTCACCAAATTTCAGTTTAAAATTCAATGGAAATGTTAGCTAAATAATCCATCCGTCTCGCAAAGATTATCGTTCTTTTTCGATCCATCCCACAAATTGGTAAAATCTGTGTATGTCTAAATCATTCATACTTTATTTTTATTTTATTAATTTAATATAAATTACATAAACTTTTTTTTTAGTTTTAATAGGCGCGTCGTTGCGTCACCCCCTCATTGTGTTACTGGACGGAAGTAATATTTTTTTGGCAAATCAGTTAAATAAATCATTGAAAAGTATAATACTTTTTTATACAAATGAATTAAGAACTTCAAAAGAAAACCAGTAAAAAAAACTTCAAAAACCGAAAAAATAAACAAACCACATGAGATGGTAATAAGACTGGACTCACCCAAGTCTTGTGAAACATGCCAATCTTGAGTGTCTTAGCAACAGGAACCCCATTCACAACATCATAGCCTTTGATTCTGGGCATGTCCGGCAGCTCATCCACAAACATCTTCAGCTTGGATGGGCTCAGGACCGGAGATCCACCGGCCCATGATGAACGGCCCAGAACTCCGCAAAGAAGTATGGCTACGAGCTGTAGCTGGAGCTGCGCACATGGGATTACTCTCTCTATCTCCGCCATTCTCCGGCGGCCGGCCACCGATAATTGATTAAACAGTGTTTTGAGGAGAAATGGGCCGCAGGGCTGAGTTCACATGTGAAGGCTGGAACTGGCTGGTCGTATATATAAAGTGAGGTCTTGGGAATAGATTCTCTGTTTTTCTAACTTTCTACAGGCATCAGATTTTTTTGGTTGAAATAACATCCACGTTCTATGTAATATGTTCATGTATATATATATTCTCCCCTATAGCTTAATAAAAGGTTCACTACTTGGATTTAGACATTTTTGGGTTTCACATTATAAGAGGACTAATTAGTATTTTAGTACTATCACTGTCCCTTAAAATTGGTTTGAGAGGTGATATGTGATTACAAAAAAATGACATTAAGTGATTCATATTGAATTGGTTGACTTAGAATAAAGTAAAAACGATTTAGAATGAATATAAAATGAAAGGTAATAAATCTTAACGACACAAAGATGGTACAAAGTTCAATACAGAATGGACCAGAAATTGAAAATATTCCCGCTATCCTTTAAAACTTTGTTATCTTCCGTTTTGGGATATCGTGGTTTCGCGAATAGCCTCGTTACCATCATCACCTCATCACCCAACTACTAATTATACGGAGTTAATACGTTGCTATATTAATAGATTTTATCTGTAAATAATTAATATGTTACTTAAATTGACATTTGTATAGTTGACTTCGTAAATGTTTTCTTTTTACATAAAATCTTTTAATTTACCTCCAAAATTAACACTTGTAAATTTCAAAATAAGATGTAGATTTGATTCAAAATGACTCTTCCTTTTTCACTTGTGATTTGTTTGAATTAGCTCAACTGGTAGCGAGGGAGTGCCACAAGGGTTAGGTCTCGGGTTTGAATCCCGGCCACTGCGGTGAAGGGTTACTATGCTGAAAAATGCATAGGGCCTCTGCAAGTACCGGGGACAGAGCCGCACTCTCTATCTGTCAGATTGTGATTATAGTCCAATTTACATCCTCCCATCGTGCCGTCCGGTCGGTGTTGGGGGCCCTCAGGGATGGGGTGTCATCCTTTTTTTTAATTAGCTTATAAATATTTGAAAAAAATCCACTGTGAATGTTCATTCCTTTCTTGTTGAATATTTTAATGTTTATCTCACTTGTATGCAATGTTATAATATTTTGATTTTCTCTGCATAATACTTTTGTTTATAACTCCATATTTTACGATATACACTCAAATATACCCAAGTGAACTTTCGTTCATATCTTGAGTGACTGTTTATCCTTTGGTGCACTTGAATAAAGTATTGAGTGTATTTTTTTTTTTTTGGAGAAAATGAAATTTTATTAAAATGGATCAAACGAAAGTACAATAAAGAGAGATACAGAGCAAAACACATCAAAAACTAAAAAAACAAAGAGTGTGATTTCTTCTCCTCTTAGCCGGCCATTAACGTCTCCGCGACTCATTACCCTGCTACATATTCAGAAACAACATTAAACCTGCTACAAAGCCGGCCATTACTATTGTGTCGATTATTATCTTAAATGTATAACCCAGAAAAATATGACATGTGAGAAATAGTACGTAAAATATAAAGCATTTTGTCTATGCACATAACCACATTCCAATGCAATCACATATACTTTAAGGTTATACAATCATTATAGCTAAAAGATTCGGTAATATTAAAGATATTTTGAATTTAATAAAATATATGCTTTTAGTACTCTATGAAGTGCATCATGAATGTGTGTGTATATATATATATATATATAATTTATGTGATTTAAATGTTTAAAAAGTTGTGAAATATAATTTGTGTGATTCAAATACATAATTATACATTTATGAATAAAATAAAGATTGTTTACAAAAATATTACTATTGATTAGAGTAGTACTGGAATCAGGGTAACTTATGTTCAATTTTTAAACGTAAGTTACCATGACACTACAATGTAGTAACTGTTACTCAAATTTTCGTAAATATTTTTTTGTAATATTTTTGAAACAACCCCTAATTTAAGTATGTCAAAAAATGGTGAAGTATAAATTTAATGAAGAACATTTTCATATCATTTTCATATTATCAATATTACCGTGTTTAAATCTAAAATCGGTCTAAGTTTAACATCCTTGACTTGTAAAGACAATATAATTCAAAAGGCTCGGAGGGAAAATAAAACAAATTTATTGCGATGGACGAAAAAATGAAAAAGCTTTGTTTTCTCAAAAATAATACTAAAATAAAACTTATTCACACGAAAATGACAAATAGTTACTCCAATGTAGTGTCATGGTAACTAATGTTCAAAAAATGAACATAAGTTACTACGATTCCATTACTATTCTAGTCACTAATCATAGTTTTGCAAACAATCTTTATTTTAATCGTAAATACTTAATTATTTCGAATTAAAATGGGACAAAGATATGAGAACCCAGGGAGTATGAATTATCGCTACTTTAATTTCAAATTTTAGATGAGCATTGCAAAGAAATACGATAGTATTCAAATCACCGCCTCATTTACTTTTGAAGAAAAGTCTCTACACAATAATGCTTATTTTTTAAGTATAAAGTATCAAGTAGACATTATATCAATGCTCATCTTAAATAGATCCCACCACCTAGAACATAAAATTTCAATTCAATAAAAAACACCGTAACATCGTCAATCAGTCCAATTCAGAAAATGATTGAAAAAAATAAAATAATGTCTTTATACGGAGTAAACAAAAGATAGATATCATTTTATCCCGTGGGCGGCATGGGTAAAAATACTACTCCGTAGTAATTACACACTTATAACTAAAACAAAGATTGTTTACAGAATATGACCAACGATCAGAGCAGTAATAGAACTAGAGTAACTTATATTTAATTTTAAATATAAGTTACTATGACACTTCATTATAGTAATTATTAGTCATATTTAATTTATGTAAATAGGTTTCATTTTTGTAATATTTTTGAAAAAAGCCTTATTCAAATATTTCAAAAAAAGGTGAAGAATAATATTTGTACATCTTTCATTGTAGGCCAACTAATTAGAAAGTTATCTAAATTTATTTAGAAACATTTAGTAGAAGGCCAACAATGAAAGAAGTACACTTACACACTTTACCACTTAGTAGTAGGTCAACGTATTGCAGTATGTTAAACAAATTTGCAAGCTTTACTACTTACGGTGTGGGATTTCTTTTTAAATCAAATCCCATATAAATTAGAAAGGATCCACTCCTTTCTATGTAATTATACGGAGTTAATACGTTGCTATGTAAATAGATTTTATCCATAAATAGTTAATATGTTACTTAAATTGTCATTTGTATAGTTTGACTTCGTAAGTTTTTTCTTTTTGTATAAAAACTTTTAATTTACTTCCAAAATTAACACCTGCGAATTCCAAAATAAATCAAATGAGAAGTAGATTTGATCCAAAATGACTCTTCCTCTTTCACTTGTAATTTATTTGAATCATCAGCTTATAAATATTGAATGCTCATTAACTATTTGAAAAAAATCCACTATGAATGTTCATTCTTTTCTTGATGAATATTTTATTGTTTATTTCACTTGTATGCAATGTTATAATATTTTTGTATTTCTCTGCATAATATATATATTTATTTATTTTTAGAATATAATCGATATATTACTAATTGTTATCTAATTATGCGGTTTAAACTAAATCTGAAAATTTTCTTGTTATTTTTTAAATTACCTCCTAAAGAGGAATGCCACCAACTGATCGGGAAAATATCCAACTGAATTTTCGTTCATATCTTGAGTGATTGTTTATCCTTTGGCGCACTTGAGTAATGTGCTAAGTGTGTACACTTTATTTTGTATAATAGTTCTTTGTTTTGAATAGATTTATAAATAGCTTTTTCTCTACTTCCACATATTTAATGATAGTTTAGTAAATTGTTAATAATAAATATACCACACATGCATATTATAGAAAGGACTTTATGTTATATTCGAACAAGTATAACTTTTAAAATAAATGTGCCAACACAATTGAATATTTGAGCACATTAGAGAATTCAAATGACCTGTTGAATTTTTCAATGTTCAATTTGTTAGTTATGTGTGCTCATTTGATAATGATGTTATGCTCATTTTAAAAATTCATGTCAATGAATATTTCAAAATTATAAAATCACACTAGATTCACATATAGGAATTTGTAGGAATTGGTTATATATAATTTAAAATATTTGTACAAAAGAAAAAAATAAGAATAAGAACAAGAAAATGAATTAGAAAAAATGGGATCAGAGATCAAGATACTGAATTGCAGAGTTCCAATGTTCAAGAAATGAGACTTGATGCCCAATGAAAATGTCTTGGTGCTCAATTAGTAGATATTGCGAATTTCATATCAATGCAAATTTCAAAAGCATAATAATAAATTACATTTGCATATTGAATTCATAGGAGTTGATTATAGATATAATTTAATAAATTTTTACAAAAGAAAAATTAAGAATGATAGTGAATTAGAATGTATGAGAGCATAGATCGCGATATTCAATTGCAGGCTTCTAATGCTCAATAGAGGAGGTTTGATGTTCAATAAAAAGTGTTTCGATGCTTAACTAGCAGAGCTTACAATTTTTATACCAATTCATATTTTAAAAGCATAATATTAAATCATATTCAAATATTAGAATTCATATAAGTTGATTATAGATATAATTTAAGAATTATTCACAAAAGAAAAAAATGAATTAGAAGATATGAATCACAGACCATGATGTTCAAAATTAGACTCCTTTTTCTGGTGCCAAGACAATACTCGAAGGTGTTGTGATGAGGTCCAAGGAACACATCATTGCTTTATTAAAGAAATATGCAGTACAGAGAGCAGGAGGGCGAAACCAAAGCCTACTCGGGGAAATAAATTAAAACATGCAGAAGTTAAAAGCAAAAGATTACAGATCCCTACTACATTATATTAGTGTGTAACTAAAATTATTGTGGAGACCAGTCTGAATAGACATGGTAAATGTTCTTCAATTCTCAGGATGAGCTCTACGGCACTGAGTTAAACCTTGCACCAATATTTTACGTGATTCATATTTATGTTCTTCACGATAGACATAGAACTCAAACTTTGTTTGTCCAGCCTTAGCTTTGCTCTTTGTTAGCATCTGTGAACTATATCCTCTGTTCAGAATAGGTTGATGCTCAACACAAGCACATTTATGTTCAATTCACCGAAAATCACGTTTTTCAACTAAAATTACAAAAATGCCACCGACTGTACAGTTCAC